ATACAAGATACAAGATTTACACTGTGTAACGTAAAATTTCGATAGAATTAGAGGCATTAAACAGATTTAGTATTATTTACAACTGATCGAGGTCAATCGGTTGTTTTTAATATCAGACAACACGTGGGAGATATAGAGCCGTTCGAAAACCTAAACAAATTCCAACAGACCTTTCAAATTAACACTTTAAACAACAAACACAAAAATAGCGTTTTAAACAGTGTTGTATTTTATCAAATACATTCGACAGGGTATATTTTCGTATTTTTAACACATAAATAGGTTCGCTATTTTCCGCAAACAAGGATTTTAGATTATTTTAGTGGTTCTTCGGCTATATCAGACAAAGAGGGCAGACAAGGGGTGAATGCTGTTTCCAAACTAAAACCATCATGTTTCGTAATATTGTCTTATTATATCCAGGGGCCTTCTTTTCCACATAAACAAAAACTGATCAAGAACAATAAAGTCAGTTTAGATCAAAGGAAATATAACACCATATATTTATCTTTAATATCTTTTAATAAACCATTTCATGTGCTCATCATTACTAACTTGTGTATACTGTATACCATTGAAATATGTATTCTATTAGACTGTTTTCAAACAACAAGCTGTAAAGAATCAAGGATTTTGGTATCTTAAGGCAAGATGGGCGGTAATGTGTATATTCAACTTTATTACCCGTTACCTAGTTAGCGCCAAGGTCTAGTGAAAGGTCAACAAGAACAAGTTGTGGATAAGAACTGTTGAATCACGTGAAGGATAAAATGTCTTGTCTTTGTGTTTGTTAGCAAAATAATTTGTTTATTATTCCATATACATCTGCAGAACGCCTGTCTGTACAATATGTCCTAACATTTAGTTAGTATGCATTTCTAAGGAATAAGATCGGACCTCTAATCAGTAGCACACATTGATATTTATTCTCCTCTTTGTACACGACACCATTTCCAAACATATTTCTGAACGCAAATTTGACGTATATAATATAGACTGAGACACAAGGAAGCCGTACCACTGATGACTTGAAGCTGAAATGCATTTTTTGAAATGATTGTACAAATTGTAGGCTCGAGATTTTCCGTCACAAGAAATTCAACAACCCACGGAGAAACGTAAGCAAAGGAGCTAAAATCATCTGAATTGGTCTAACATTTGTCCGTTTGGAACGCAGTTCGGTAAATGAACAGCGCTGATGAACCCATGAAAGCTTTAACAGGAGCAGCGGCACGAGAAGGTGGTAGCATGCGATCCTGTCGATGTTACATGTCATTGTGCCGGTCTTGTTGAGGCATTGTGACGCGTTGCTGTCTAGGCTTTTGTCGGTCTCTAATGTCTGCTTGAAACGATCCACAAGTCTCCGGGCGGTAGCGTTATGGCATGGAAACCTTCAAGTGACGACACAGGTAGACATACCCTCCTACATTAATGCAATTGCGCGTTCCCGGTTTTCATGTGTCGACATAGGTAGATCATTGTGTCTTCAAAATATTAAATCTGACCGATGCGTATATGCAAAGCACACTTTTGTTGAAAATGAAAATGAAAATAAACAAGTCTAAAACAAACCAATTAGTTGCTACTACTGCAACACCACCCAAAGTCATATCGATGACTCCACTGATAAAAACTGAGCTACTCTGGGAGTCAAAGATCAGGTTTTAAATGAAGTTGATGACAAGTCTGAAAAAACTGGATACACATAAAACAAGCACCAGTAACAAGACAAATAAACATAAAGTGTAAACCTTGTCTATCAATTTCAGATGTGGTGAGATTTTCAAAGCAGGAAATCAGAGAAAATCTAGATAAGACAGACGTTTTATCAACGAAAACATCGGGTATTTAGTTTAGTTTCAATAAACGTTATCTAATAGAGGATTTTTTCAATAATGATTTGTCTGTGGAACTCTCTGAAGGGTCTTGTTTAGATTGAAGTCGTAAGCCCATCTTGGCTGTGTTACACTTGATAAGGCGTGCATTAACTTTAGTTTATCTCGAACTTCTTTATTATTTCACTTTTTTCCTTATATATTTTCGTTGGGTGGGTTCTATATTAAAACTCGACATAATCATTTGTTAATGATGAGTTTGGCGTTTGTGAACCGAGATAAGGTATTAAAAGGGGGATGTTCAATTATATTGTGAGACTATACGCCCCTACAGCGAAATAAACCAGACTTAGACCCAAGAACGCTTTATACAATAATTTCATACAGCAAATCAAAATCAGATTTTTCGTTACTAGGATTTGACGTATTTCTGCAAAAATTAGTTACAAGTTTAATACAAATTCCTCTAAGGCTGTGTTAGAATGTTGTACTCTGTTGAATTATTGGATGTGAAAAAGTTCAATAAATAGAATATAATTATCAAATGAGCTATCCCTGAATCTATGCAATCTGCTCATTACGAACAGTGACCGGTATGGTGGTCGTGTTGTATCATTTACTATTTATATAATTGATAATTATATCATTGTGCGTCAGGCCATAGTCGGACACCGGATTCACCCCTCCATTACCCCATACCAATCGATGCCCCCGGCCAAGAGCCCATCTACGGTTCTCTAACCAGATGGTCAGAGCGGGAAGTCTCATCCAATGTCTCGCAGAAGAACTATTGAGTAGTCGTAGTAGCGAGGACATCTACAAGCGACTTATTTACCAATAACTCTATGGAAGTGGCCGTTAAGCCCCACAAACTAATTAACGAATCTCTCGCCATTTCACGGTGTGGTGGAGCACGTCATGAACTCATCAGTGTACTTGTCGATTAAGGCTTAAGACAAATCCTCACGGGCGACGAAAGATATTGTGTTGGGGGAGCCCGTCCCAAGCTTTAAGTTGCCGTCCGATTCGGCTCTGTTCCACATCCATTTCTTCTGTTTTGGATGTACTGAGCATTGACAAGCTGATTCGAGTAATTTTCATGTTGATTAACTGTCAGAAATGTTAAACCCGGACTCTGAGCGTCTACCATGTCATATGACCAGCTGATAGATGTGGTTTTACTACTGTATACGCACTCATGCACGTTAGATTGAAGCCTGGTGAATTTGGTTTGGACAGATATGGACGAACAGCGGACGACGAAAGCCACCTACACCCAACGTGCGAAACGTTCACACAGCAAATGCCCTACGTACATATAGCGTATTGATCACTACGTTGTCACCCGCTCAAAACTTTGATCATGTTTTCAAATTTTCCCAGATCCCAGCGCACCTCTGCGAACCGCTAACAAACACAACTTATGCCATACGTGTCACGAATGCGTGTCAACTTACATGAACGTACACCGGAATTTCCAAACACACGTTAGCTCTATTCGCAACAGTGTGACATGGGCTTTACACATTCTCTCAATTTACGTTTTTTAACTAGCATCATGGAAGTTGGTGAAGCAGGACTATTTATATATGAAACAAAATGTATTCTGTTAATCCAGGTATTTAACAAAAGGTATTCTTTTTCTGGGCATGTTACTAGTTATGTAGCCGATGAAGAAGATCCTTAATGACTGGCCAATCCCCATGCTCGAAAGATTTGCATTCTTGTGCAAGTCCGTGTTTGTAACAATTCAAAACGTCTTGTTATTTGCCCTTATTTAATCCAATCCTCGATGCTGCACCATATGAATGCAATAAAGCTAAATAAAGGAATATAGATTCGGACACCGAGCACTAAACCACGCCCAGTGGTCACTTCACAAGTTTATACTATATTGCGCGTGTTTACCAACACAAATATAAAGAAAAGGGAAAATGAACATTTCTGGCAAACCCTTATCAGAATTTGGCGATTGTTCCCCATAAAGGTCTGTAGATATGTTTAAATTATAACCAAACAAAATGTCCTGTTCTGACTCCTCCTTTCTATTCTTTGAAATACGATGATAGATTCGACTGTGTGGTAAATTAATGTATACCGATATTACAAATGTCAGTTATTGTACTATTAATTCCGAAGAGGCTTGTAAAGTGTCTTTACGCTCATTCAGTCTCGATATTTTTGTCGCAGGACAAAGCATAAGACAACAAAGTGGACAGGATTATATAATATAATAAGTCAACTTTTACATATATGATTGTTAAAATGTACCCAAATCTGCATAAAAACAACCGAGATTTCCAGGCAATGTTTCAAAGAAACATACATGCACACCCATAATATGCAAAATTATATGGCCATGCTCGTTACATAACACAATTCTAATATCGGCTTTATATCTATCTAAGATGTATAAAACTAACCTGACTGCTAATGCCTAGTAGAAACGGGGACTTAATAGTAATTATCTTGAATGGTTTTAAGCAAATAGTCTTTGCCTTTTTCCTGGACATTCCGTTTTATCGACTTCATATTTATCAGATGAAACGGCTAATAATGAAAATAAAGATTTTCATCCTTTGAATGTGAGAAGGGAGGGGGCGGGGGGGGGTGAGTGGTTTAACACGTGGACGTTAGACCATAAGGTATGTCATTGAGTCAAAGGGCGTGGATTCGATACCGTACTTCTACGTGACAAGAAGTGTGGTCGCCTGCCTAACCTTTTGGGTTCCCTCCGGCTTCTCCAGTTTACCCCGCATGACCTCGTTTGTGTTGTTGAAACCATAGTGTTGTTGAAATGAACGTTCAGTAGAATTCATTCTCGTGTGAAATTTCCTCCATTTCTAGCGGAAAGTAAGCAATTAAGCAAACGGTAATTATTATTTAAAATCATAAAGATATTGTACATAGGTAGGTAAATATCAAACATAACTTTAGTTCTATGGATTCGGCATGGGACAAAGTATGTTATTTATTTCCTCCACAACAATTGTAGGTATACCCATATACACGCGCACATACTCGATATATGTATAAACTATATACTCCCTAAACACATACAAGAGAAGAGTGTAGATACCTGCCATAATACGTCACCTGACCGGTAATACGGTACTGCAGCAGATACCCGTGCCAATAGCAGACGATATTATAACATGCGCGAGCGTGGCGAGTCGGGATACAGTTTTACGAGTTCCTCTCGTCAATACACATCAGTTTCCTAGAATGGAACGGAACCAAGGATTGAATTCCGTATCGTATTATTTGGAAAATATTATGAGTGTGATATGAGTGTGATAGACGGAGTGTAAGGAAACTCGACGGGAAGCTTGAGAAAACTTACGGATAGTTGTTTTATGTGGTTTCGATCGCAATAGGATAGGATAGTATGTGCGTATCCCGGATGAAAAAAGTTACGTGTGTGGATTGAGCAATAGTTACCTATATCGATTTCATACCCTGTATTGTTTTAGAGAGTTGCTTTGCGTTGTGTGCATTTTTTGATGTTTTTTATATATTTTTTTAATCCGCAAAAGTGATAATCGTTTTTACAATGGATACGTTTTAATAAATATTTGAGTTAATGAGAAAAGGTAATGAGTTTTTCATGTGTGCAATAATGACCCTCTTTCCATAAAAATGAACTAAGTGACTATGATGGAAGAGGAAAGCGTCGATACAACAGCAAGTCCTGATGGGACCAGACCCGATGATGCGACTGAATCAACCGAAACTGTCGCGAAGGCTGCTGCCCCCGTGGATATTGATCGAAAGGATGTGAAAAGACGTGAAAAATCGAGGGGTAGATTTAGACGAAAGAGGCATTCCAAAACGCAGTCAGTCCCTGATCTTGATACAAAACTAAGACAAGACGGCACTGCACAGTTCTTGGAAAGCAAAAAGGCTGGAAATGATGGAAAATATAATTCAATGCCGAGGAAATCGCGTTCGCGGAGTGGATCTGCCAATCGATTTTCTGGGTTGTTCAAACGGAAAAGTAGATCAGCTAGTGAGGGACGAAGTAGATCCGAGACCGATATAGTCGGAAATTTAGAACATGAAGCTACAAATAAAGTGGAAACGAATGACGACGGCAACGAAGAAAAAGAAATAAAAAACAATTATGAAGAATACGTTTCTTATGTACGATATTCCCCAACTAAACAACCGAGGAATCGTTTAAAACGAATGACAGTGCGGGATGCCGTTGTGGAGAGGCGACTTCGAAATACTTTGTTTGTGCTTAACCAGAAGAGTAACGAAGAGGGGAATACACTTTCCAACTCCCTTCCCGATGTGAGTAACATTGACTCGAACGATAGTAGTTTGTTAATTCAAGCAGTCGGAGACGATACTGACGATACATTTAATAAAAAGAGTGTGACTTTACCGAGGGACAAAAAACATAAAATTCGCAAAAATATAGATACTTCCAAAAGTGTCTTTGATGACAGAACTTTACTGATTCATTGTGATATTAATGGCAATGGGGCTGGTTCGTCTCCGGAGACCGTGTCTTCACCTAGCAGGGTTGAAATTCGAAATGTTACGGGCACTAAGGAGTCTTCTAAAGAATCTGAAACTAAGTGTGACTCGGACAATGATTCTGACGAATTCTTTGAGTGTAGCGACTCTATCGCTAGTCCAGCAGTGGACGATAAAATTGAAAGATCAGAAGCTCAAAATTCATACCGATCTAGCTTGTCAACACAGGACGTGGAATCCGAAACGAATGCCAAAGCTGTCGCTGATATTGTTTACAAATCATCAAACGAGAACATTCAAAAACTCAGAGAAGAATCTCGATCTTTGTTTCTAGAACTAAGTCGAAACATTTCAGCACGCAAAGATAGCCTAGTCACCAGTCGTGATGCATCGCCGCATGCCAGATTAACCGATAAACGGAAATATAGCAATGTGGCAAGTCTGTCACAAGATGAGAAGAGGGGTTCATTAATTGGCCATAAAGAACCCATTACAAAACACTTGCTGCCTGACATATCAGTTCAAAATAAAGATCCATCGCTCCTTACTAAAGATACTACCAAGTCAAAGCCAGGTGAAAAAACCGTTAGATATGCTGATCAAATACCTGACGAGTCTCCCGATGTCAAAGACCCCGAAAAGAAAACAAATTCCGGGGAACCAAGAACAACTGATTCCCTGTCTTCAAATTGTTCAGATACATTTGGGAATTTCACGTTGATATATCAACCTGTTTTAGCGGGTTACAAAATGTCCCCGGGTATAAAAGCTGTTGATATCAAGCCAAAAAAAGGCAAAAAGAAGAAAGCAGGAAAGGGAAAACAAAGTAAAGATGAAGCCCTACCAGAGGTAGCACCCGATCTAAAACCCGCTACCATTGAAAATGAAGATGACAGAAATATGAATCCGGAATTAAAAGACAATAACACAGAAGTCGGAAATATCCAAAATGAAACCATGAGCTCTAACGAAGTTAATGTAAAAGGCCATGACGAAAGCGACTTTCAAGCAGCCCCAGATCTGAATAACCTTACTATAGAACAGGGACCAAATGCAAAACGGTCATCTGATTCACACGAGTCGGTAATTGATGAACGGATCGACAATGAGACACCCGAAAATAGTACTAACATGACTCTAGACACCAAATCCTTGGTGGATAAAAATATTGAAACAAACATGACACCCGATCTTGTTTCAGCGTCCTCACCAATACCAGTAGAAGCCAATCCTCCACCACAACCGTTAATAGACAGGGAAAACCTTTTGAATATTCCAAAACCCCGCACGGACAGATCACTGAGTGACGGAATCGTGGATTATAGCAACGGTGAACGAAAATCCCCAAGAACCTTTCAAAGAAGTTCTTCAGCAAAAAGTCCACCCCCAACGTCAGCCGAGTATCAAGTTTCGGAAAGCGAACATAAAAATGTGCCAATCATGGGTACAAGTTTATCTAGGAAATACCGCAGAACATTTTCCCCGCAAAGGGGAAACACCGACTTTCTCCAGTTACCAAAAGGCATAACATTATTAGACCCATCCACGTCTCCTAATGTCTCTTCGATGAATCGTGAGAGTCTTTCTGAAATAAATAAATCGAAATCTAGTTCTCCAGACGAAGGGATTAGTTTGCATGGTGATGATGACGGTGATATCAGTATGGTTACTGGGGTAGTGCATAGAGGGGTTACTGATCAAGATAACCAATTTTCTACCCAGAAGAAAGCGAAGATAGGACGCACATTTCGTACATCGGAGGAAATGGGGGGACAGAAATCACCAGACACTAAGACTGTAGACGAAAAACAATCTGCAAAAATACAGAAGAGTCCTGAAAACGTTTCTGATGATCGATTTGTGGAGATTAGCACCCAGACTAACGAAGATGACATCCGAGCTGCCATAAAGCTTATGATTAAACAAGCAAAAGAGCAGAAAAAGCGAGAAAAGGCTTTTGCCAAACGGAAAAAGGATTTCGTTTCTATAGTCGACGAGCCTAAACGGGAAAGAGAACAACAACAGCAAAGTGTAGATCCAGAATCGTCTAATGCCAAAGAGGCTATTTTCGAGGTTAAAACAGCTTTACCAACTCCAGAAATACGAGTGGCCGATGATGATAATATAACAGTATCGCCATCACTATCTGCAATAGAATCTCCGGTATGTCCAACTGGAGAAACACCAGTTGCACATGACGTAATAGATACAGAAGAAATTCCAAAAGAGACAAAGGACGTAAAAGGGGGTAAAGGTTCTAATAAAAAGAAAAAGGTTAAGCATAAGTCTATACTGAAAAACCGTTTCTCGAAAAAATATAAAAAGAAGAAAAAGAGTACAGATAGTAAGGAAGTCCAAGAGGAAAAATACGTAGATGCTCCAACTACAAAGCTGGAAGATGATACATTTATTTTTATTGAAAATGAAATTAATCTGAGTAAACTTGCTGAAATTAAAGAAACTGACATCTTGGATGATGACATAATAGAGCCGGATGAAAGTATTCAAATACCCACAAAACATTTAAGGTTTGACACCATTAATATACAGCCTATACAAGGAGAAGAACCCCTTCCACCCCTTTCCCAATCTGGGCGCTTATCGCGACGTAGGGATAGTACTATGCGAGAAAAGCGAAAGAAATGTTTGAACGCATTTAAGACATTTGTTGCCTTTTTATTTTCCCATATAGGATTGTGCTCATTAGTTGTTGGCTATACTATTATGGGGGGCTTCGTGTTTAAGGCCATCGAAGGGCCGTATGAACGCTCTATAAAAACGGGGATCCGCGAACAACGAGTGAAATTAATTGACAAACTCATTCAACATGCGTTTGAATTACAAATGTCTAAGTCCGGTCGGGACGATTTTATGGAAGCTGTGAACAAGGAATTACTGAAATTTCAGACTAAAATTCACAGAGAGACTAAAGAAAATGGTTGGGATGGGAATGATGCCAAGGAATTCTCGGATATGCAATGGTCTTTTGCTAGTGCTTTGTTATACGCCATTACAGTTATGACGACAATAGGTAAGCTACTTTTATTTTTTTATATATTTTATTAATATTTTGTAAAATCATTCACTATCAGAATGAATACATGATGCAAGGCGAGCCCCATGCCATTTAGAGATTAGAGAATTAATAAAAGTATATTTTATTCTCCCGAGAATAGGTTACACAAGACGTCCTTCTTGATATGTATTTTTCTATGACAAGTGTTGCTGGTGGTGGGGGGGGGGGCGATTCCTTGGCTGTACGTGACAAGGAGTAGGCTCGCCTGTCCAACTGCGTGGGTTTTCTTCTGATTCTTCTGTCTCCCCCACTGCTAAAGACCACTACGCACCAGCGAATTATTGAAATATGTTAGTCCCGAAATGACCTAGTTTGTGTCGAGTGGACGTTAATCTCTCCCCCCCCCCTCTCTCTCTCTGCAAATCAAAATATGTTAGTCCTGAAATGACCTAGTTTGTGTCGAATAGACGTTAATCTCTCCCCCACTCTCTCTCTCTCTCTCTCTCTCTCTGCTAATCAAAATTCCGTTTCTCATTTTATCTTGCTCAACAGACTTTGAGGGGTGTGAAATAAATCATTCATAATTCCCGTTTAACCTCGCAAATCATAAACTATGTGTAAACTGTTATATCTTGGGCAAAAGCACTAATACATTTATATCTTTGACTTTCATAAAATCCAGTTTTTCCTCCGATAATTTTAAAATATATCAAACTTAGCCGATAAGATAAGTCGGGTTTATAGAGATAATTTGTGAATCAAATGAAGTTGTGAAATCTAAATTGGATTTCCCATAAACTTAAGCTATAAATATAACGTGGTAATTCGAATTGTTTAGCTTCATTCCCCGGTTTCCGATAGCTATAAATATGTATTTAAGACGCCAAATAGCCTGTCAGCGTAGCGAGTTGAAATCGAACATCAAGGGGCTGTCATCGCGACAATTTTGTAACATAATGAACACATAATATTGCAGGCTAATTATAGGGATTTCGGGTTTCCACGGCCCTGGCATGCGTGCGTACAGTGACCTACTGTCTTCACAGATCTTGCATGATTTGCGTGATTGGGTTCCAAGGGACAAAGGCACACACGTTTCAAATGTTTGGTACATTTCTATATAAATAACAACTGCAGAATCGGTTCATTTAATTTCGGTAAGGAGAGATATCCCTCTAAGCTCTAACAATATGCCTTTTAGAGTTTAAGGGTACAGCACTAACCGGATATACACTAGGTCAGCACCTGCCCCGTAGAAAGCTTCAAATTTGAAGCATTATGGAGATATTAGAATTAGTCAGAAATATAGATCAGTATGTTGTAAATATTCTCTAATAGCGATTACACAAATTGCGTTATTTTACGTCATGATTTACTTCTAAACACGATACATAAAGGCCACTATTGGCTTATATGTAAAACTTGACCATGAACATTCTGGTTACAAATACTAGCTGTAGGGTATATCCAAAATATCAGTATGATCGTGCTGTGTGGATACTTATATGTTAGATGTTCTTCCACTGACTGGTGTACCATTTTTATTGAATTTATATTCGAAATAAAATGGGGTTTAACGACCTACTTCTCTGCACCGACTGTGCTAATTAAGACAGGTAAACGCCATACAGTGTGCTTTCAGGGAAATTTTACCCGGACAGCTGCGGAACTGCCTCTTCTTATTTCGAATTCCATCGTCAGGTTTTTCGTCCCACCTGAACGACTAGGCGCTCTCCTTGCAAGGCCCTCCGTATTACGCCAGGGGAAACCACACTGGAAAACTTCCGAGGAACTTTTTCGGCCAAAACCTGGAGCGAACCCAAAACTTCCTGGTTAGCGTGCAAGCGTTTTATTCATTGAGCCACCGCGGCTCTCCGAATTTATATTTACGTGAAAGTAAGGTTTTCGCATATTACAGCATTACAGTGTTTTCGATAAGGGACAGCTTGGAGAGAAACGTTTTGTTTTTTTTACTGTATCATATTATATTTAAATTATTGTACGTCATCATATCAATATGTGAATTTCACAGAGTATCATTACGATTTCAGAGCAGAATATGTCAATTCATGAAGATGTTTCTACCAATCGTTTCGCTGAATTAAAGGAGAATGCTATAGTAAAAGTTTAATTTTATCATTTATTAAGTTCACGATGTTACGCATTTCAGAATTATTAAAAAACAAAAAAAAACCAAAAAAAACCCCGATCTTTTAGTAACAAATAACGTTGAAAAACCACTTTCGGAAACATCCGACAGTTAATAGAAACCTTTGGCAAGCTGAATTTTCCCCACAGGTCAAGTGCCTAGCCTACATATCCAGAAGTGAGTCAAGTCGCTCGACAGTCGCTGATGTGTTCAATAAAATTTAATGTCGAAGCTTATTTAAATTCTTCGAATTGATTTCACGAATGGTATCATTTCACCACAGAATCACATCGTTTTAAAATTTACATGGTCCCGCCTCCCTAAATTTAGCATGTAGATCAACCAGCATGCAAACATACAGGAAAACTACAAAAATTCCGGAAAAAAATCAACAAAAATAATGATTAAATTCAAAGTCTTTATCATGGTTAAAATCAGATCAAATATACGCCTTCGTCTTATAGGATACACATAGATCCATACAAACGCCATGGCACAGCATTTCAGCGTCTAAAAGTAGCAAAAAAGACGGTAAAAAGAAGACGATGTTTTACGGACCTTTTCCGTATGAAAGCTGTGTGCTGTCGTATCCGCGTGCCGTATCACGTATGAGAAATACACAAACATTGATGACGTCACACGGAAAATCGATCCACGATACGGACCAGGAATTCTTGCCAAAAGTCTAATGAGCTGAAGCGAAATCCCGTACAGCACACGTCTAGCAGTGGGTGCTTTTTCCATATTATCCGAAATGGCATCGGCAGAAAGTGAGAGCATGTCAGACATTGATTTCGCTCTAAATGTTCTTCCATATCAGAACATTCTAGCGAAGAAGAACAATCGCTGCAGGCGCAGGCTGTCGATGATGTAAATGTAGAGAGAATAGGAAATACCTGAAAGTTGATTTATTTTTACTTTTGTAGTATACAATATGGATTGTTTGCAACCCGTAAACAGTCATATTATTGTATTATTCTTTTACACCGAATTCGAATCGTAGCCTTTTGATGAATAAAACAAATTTACATATGCCTACCATGAAACCATTTCTTGTTTATTTCTAAATTCCGATTTTCATTATACTGTTACTATGCCCAATTCACTCGAAAACGGCAATTCAGATATGTGTATTTTTGTAGAGGTGCGGCTATGTTCCCATGACGACTGGACGTGAGAGCAAGTGCAACTTTTTTCCACCGACAAATTAAATTCTAAAACATTTTTTGATGTATTAGAAAAATAAATAAAGACGTTTGACGTATTTGTAAGTAAAAATTATTTCCTATTTAGTGTAAATGGTATTAAAATGACTAAAAGGTAGCATTCTGCCCGAAGCAGTAACGTCTTATGTAAACAATGCACGCGCCATTCAGCCAATGATTGACGCCGCGTGCTGTGACGGCACGTGTTAAAGGTTTCATCTTTTACGGAGATATTAGAGAAGACTCGTAATTCTCTGTGAAACAGATTGAGGAAATCCATGAAGCGGTGCATACGAATGGATGATAACAGCCCTTGTAAGGAATAACATGCTAATATTATCAGAGAAAAACTATGATGTCCAATAAGATAATCATAGCCTAGATACGGTATTATAATTATCTGTGTCCTAGCCTACTTTCTCTGTGCAACAAAAAGGGGGGCCACGTATCGCTGAAAAATGTTTCTGTCACTCAAAATATTAACCACAAAAAGGCATTTACAAAGTTAAATCTGACGGACATTCGACATCTATCTATGACCAACTGCAAAAATTTCGACATAGTTGATATTCCCTGGATTGTTTACATTTCGTTGCTATGGTAATATCAGTCATTTATATTGCTAGATTTTCCAAGCTTATCGGTTTCACACACTGAGCTTTTATGGGCATGGGGACACAAAGCGTAGCATGCAGTTTTAACATACCAACATAGCTATTGAAAGATAACTTGATCGACATAATTCCTTAGCGGATGACTGATGACTCGAAATGCTCCCAACAGAGAGAAGCATGTTTCGATGGAAACCCGTTGATATCGCTGTGTCCAGACTTTTCTGCGTGTTGCCTCTCTTGAAAATTTTTAAAAAATGACACGCCCTTCCACTTAGTGTTGTTAGTAGTAGTAATTCCCAAGCAACGCAATTGATCAGGTCTATTTCCCCCTTTAGTCAAATTGATGGAATGCAGTGCTTAGTTTCACTGCAAAAATCAAAACGAGGCTGCAGATATGTATAATGTCAGTAATAGGATTCTTGGTACGTTTTTCCTTTGTAAAAATATTCGTAATGACTTTTAATTTTTTGCGGGGCCGAAAATATGCTAATATTAAGTTTTAATTTTTCACATTAAAACACTCATGGGGATGGATGGCCGAAAGGCTAACACATGCGCGCTGTATCATAAGGTCTGTCATTGAGTCAACTGGCGTGGTTTTGATTCCTCGGTTGTACGTGATAAGGAGTAGGGTCGCCTGTCCAACCTTGTGGGTTTTCTCCGGGCCCTCTGGTTTCCTCCCACTGCTAAAACCCCCTAAACGCAAGCGAATTATTGAAATAAAATTGAACCATGTGTTAGTCTCGAAATGACCTAGTTTGTGTCTAGTGGACGTTAAACCCCAAAGTGACTCAGTATTTGTATTACACTTCGCGATAAACTTACTGTTTTGTACTTAACTGCAACTTATCCTGTGAAAGCGAAAAAATGAGAAATCAGAAGCACTTCATTTCAATGTTCATGGGAATCATTGTATTGTAACTCAAGAATAATCTAATATCTTTACAGGGGAAATAGAAACACTCCATTGCTATGTTCATGGGAGGCCCTAATAAAATACATCTATACGAATCTTAAGTCGCAAATTTGAATGGCATGTACATATCT